ACAGACTCTAGGTCCATCCACCTCACTACAAATAACTCAATTTTGTTCCTTTTTATGGCTGAGTAATATTCCATTGTATATATGTGCCACATCTTCTTTATCCATTCATCTGTCGATGGACACTTAGGTTGCTTCCATGTCCTGGCTATTGTTAATAGAGCTGCAATGAACATTGTGGTACACGACTCTTTTTGAATTATGGTTTTCTCAGGGTATATGCCCAGTAGTGGGATTGCTGGTCTACCCGTCTTCTTCTCTGCTGCAGAGCTTAACTATTTATGCCAGGGGGCCAGACAGAACATCCAGAGACCCTCCAAGGCTAAACTATACATGTTTAAAATGGAACACAACTCCGAAATTTCAAAAGGCAAAAACAAAGAATGATTTTAGGCATTTCTATGTTTATAACTCAGCTAATTCTATATCATGATGGTATGTCATTTATAATAATTATTATAACATATATGTAAGCTCATTTTGACAGTGAGTCACACATTCTTTCAACAAATAGTTATGTATCTCTGAGTGCAAGGCACAACTGAGATATAAAATACAAAATTTAAGTATGAAAACTTACACATAATTGTAAGTCCTTTTAATCCATGCTTCAAAAAATAACAGAACAAAAAGAGATTATATTATTAATTTTTAATTTTATAACAAACAGTAGTAACTAGAGGCAAAAATCTGCAATTTTTCATTTTCTTTCTATACGTACATCTTGCAACTGATTTTCTCCATAGATGTATTCAGACCGCTTACAAAAGGAATTACCCAATCTGTATCCTCCACCTGTAAAAGACTAAAACACACACATAGCAAATGAGCTAAAAATTCACTGAGGCTTATCAAGCAAAATGGTATGATAATGTGTGATAATATATTTTAAAACTATATCAATTATAATTAGCCAAACTGGTTTATACTTTGCAGGAAATTTTTATATTAAAATAAAGGTCTTATATTACAGAGAGGTATACTCTAGTAAGAAATTATGTTTCTTCCCACAAAAACAGTAATGACTCAGAAGCTGAAATAACTTAGGCCAATCTTAAACTAAGAAATGCATTTATACACTGAAATAATATTTTCAAGTAGAAACAGGCTTTAAAAACCCACCTTTAATATTTTATGACAAGTCCTATAATAATTATAATTCTTGAATCATATTTCACAAAGTAAATAAGAGTTTCATAGAGAAAGGAAGAATTTTATAAATGAGTATAAATTACCCTGAAGAAAAGCTCCATACTTATAAGCTGCTTTGATTCAACTGTAACAAATCAACTAGACTGTACTTTTTGTTTTGTTATACTAATTACAACGTCTTCTATTTTTCAGGCAATATAGCTTATGAGGTAAAACTGCTGTTTCTTTTCATCACCATTCATATCATAAATGAGCTATTAATTATCACATGCTTTCCCTTCTATAGACTAAATTATATCAATCCTATATTTTTCTTACAGAATTGGAGAACTTGCAAGAACCAAAATTACCTGAGACTTAACTGAAAGAGCATTTCAAACTGTGGGTAAAGAACGAAATGAAAACTAAAATTTAAGTTTCATTTAACAAAAGCGGTTCTGAGCAGTGGATGACCCTCACAATTACCAGACAGGCCCCCTAGGCACAGTGGACACCTACTGAGCCATAATCCCTGAGGCCACATGGTGGTTTAGAAAACCTCCCAAATGATTCTGATGAGGGAACTCAGGTTGGGAAATGATGATTATAAGAATATATGACAATTATACACAAAAAGATACTTGAAGTCTTCTTTGATATACCAGTACTCTGCCAGCTGACATAGTTATAAAAGCTGTATAAAAGTTTTATAGGAATTTAAGGCACAAAAACAACTCAATCGAGAAAGGAGAGCCTTTCAACACACAATGGTGAAGCAACTGGACCTCCATAAGGAGAATAATGAACCTCGATGTAAACCTTAAAGAAAGTTAACTCAAAATGAATCGTAAGTTTAAATGTAAAAAGAAAAACGATAAAAAATGTTCTAGATTACATGAAAGAAAATCTTCCGGACCTATAGTTAGATGAAGAGTTCTTGGACAAGATACCAAATACATAAAAGAAAAAAAAAAGGATAAACTGGACTTTATCAAATTGAAAACTTTTGCTCCGTAACAAATCCTGGTAAGAGGATGAAAAGACAAACTACAGTCCAGGAGAAACTGTCTGCAGACCATATACCTGACCAAGGACTCATACCTATTAAAATACATACAGAACTCTCAGAAGTCCACAGTAACAAAACAAACAATCCAACTAGAAAATGGGCAAAAGTCCGTTTACTGAAGAGGATAATAAAGATAATGGCAAATAAACACATGAAAAGGTGTTCAATATCCCTAGCCATTAGGAAAATGCAAATGAACATGATTAGCCATTAAGAAAATGCAAATCAAAACCACAGTGAGTTATCACTACACACCTATCAAAATGGCTAAAATTATAAACAGTGATATTACCAAATGCTGGCAAGGATGTGGAGAAACCAGATCCCTCATACACGGTGGAAAACGGTTTGGCAGTATGTATATGTATAAACATATACATACCCTTCGACCAGGCAGCTGCACTTCTAGGCATTTATCCCAAAGAAATAAAAACTAATTTACATACAAAACACGACTGCTCACAGCAGCTATATGTCTGCCTTCCTTCCTTCCTTCCTTCCTTCCTTCCTTCCTTCCTTCCTTTTCTCTCTCTCTCTCTTTCTATCCATTTCGTTAGTTAGTTGTGCTGGGTCTTAGTTATGGCAGGTGGGCTCCTTAGTTGCGGCATGCCAGCTCCTTAGTTGAGGCATGCGATCTCTTAGTTGTGGCATGCATGTGGGATCTAGTTCCTAGCCAGGGATTGAACCTGGGCCCCTTGCATTGGGAGCACGGAGTCCTAACCAATGCGCCTCCAGGGAAGTCCCAGTAGCTATATTTCTAATGGCCAAAAACTAGAAACACCTAAAATTTCCCTCAATAAGTGAAGAGTTAACAAACGGTGGTACATCCACGCCATGAGTGCTACTCAGGAATAAGAAAGAAGGATCTACTGATACACTCAATAACTGATGGATCTCAAGGGCTTAAGCAGAGTGGAAAAAAAGCTACTCCTAAAAGGTCACATACTGTACGATTCTATTTGTATAACATTCTCGATATTACAAAATTACAGAGATGGAGAACAGATTAGTGGTGGCCGGAGGTCTATTGAGGGCGGGGTCGGTGGCAGTGACTCTAAAGGGGGCCACTAAGAGGAGACTGTCGTGATGATAGACAGCATCCAGATCGAGGAGGTCACTACACAAACCTACACCTGTGATAAAATGACACAGACCTACACACAAACCCTGCACCAAGATTAAATTCCTACCTTTGGGACTGAACTATAATTATGTAACAACCGCTGGGGGAAACTGGGTGAAAGGTGCATAAGACCTCTCTTCATTCTTTGGCAAATTACTGTGACTCTATAATTATTTCAAGATAAAAAGGTAAACAGAGAAGTTTTATAGAAATGTTAAGAAACTGCCTCAACTTTCGACCGTTAGTAGAAAGATTATATAGACTTAGAAAAATAAAACAAATATTTGAAACAAATATACAGTTAGAAAAACAATGTTTGCAACTAATATAAAAATCTTTAGGAGATCAAATATATAAACAGCAAATTTAGTTTTTTTTTAAACTTTAATGTTATATTGCTTTTATATTTTATTTATTTATTTTATTCCTTGGCCACGCTGGGCGGCATGTGGGAACTTAGTTCCCTGACCATGCCCCCTGCAGTGGAAGCTTGGAGTCAACCACTGCACCACCAGGGAAGTCCCAATAGCATATTTAGTTTAAAAAATTCAGCCCTTACCTTAGATTTGTCATCACTCGAAGCTCTTGTGGCTTCATTCAGAGGGACAGCCCCATGTTCCCTTGCCTCTTTGAAAAGTTCATTCACAATTTTCCCAGTTGAAGGTCGAACTATATGTAATCCACTGCATTCATGTTCACTTGAATAGAACCTTTAAACATTACAGTTCATGAATAAAGACAGAATACAAACATAAACTACTTTAAGGCAAAAAGCTATACAGTCTTAGGAAATGACTTTTATTTAAAGAGAGCCATTTCTAAGGCCTTTGTGGAAATATTTAATTTTAAAAACGGGATTAAGGAATTAAGTAGTATCAACAGCTTGCAGAGATTTGGTAGCAAATTCAGCATCCCACCTGAGAACTAACTAGTTTGTTTCTTCCTCACGTACCCTCTGTAACTGCTTATCTATCACACGAATCTCTTTGACAGCTGACAACCAGAAGCTAAGCCTCTCCCCCAGAGGAATCCACATTCAGTAGGACCTGGTCAGTGAAGAGACTTCTATATTTAGATACTGTAAATATCTAAATCTAGACCACAGGGCTACACATAGAGTTTACTCCTCAGAGAGTTCTGATTGAAAAATTATAACCTCCCTGTGTTAAAGGTAAATAACTTAGACCACAAACAATTTTTTCAGTGTTAACTATGTAGTGAATAATTTCTTTTCTATTTCATAATGGTCCTAGGGAATATAAACATTTCCTTCACATAAATTAGTAACCTATTTTATCTTTCAAGATTTTTTACAATCAAGAATATCAGAAAATATAACCAATGAAATATCAACATGGAGACTTCCAGAATAAGGTGACAATCAAAGCTCATATCCTTGACTACCTATACCCTCCAATTCAGTTCCTAATTTGCACTGAACTGACTCACAAAACAAAGGGGGAAAATTATATCAGCACGGGAGACTAGGAACAGAAGTCACCTTCAAGACTTTCCCAAAATTAGTATATGCAAAACTAAACAGGAAATGGAAGGGCAGCTCAGCTCTCAATTCACTGTAAGTGGAAGAAAGATCTACACGGAGAACAATGGACACCAGCAGAACCCCACTAACAAGGCCAGCTCACAACTACTGAGGGTGGGGTGGGGTGGGATGGATCCAGCTGCTAGCGCTCTGGTCAAGTACACTGAGGACTAAGTTCACCCAGAGCAGGAGCCTCCGGAAGCCTTCCTGCCCAGCAGATACTCAGAGGGCCCAGTACAGACAAGCAAGGCTGAACACTGCCATGGCTGGCTCTTACGACAGGGGTCAGCGTTAGAAGGCGCTTGATAGCAGATGCCTTAAATGGCAGCACTGAGAAAGGAAAGGAGAGGAGAGGGGAGGGGAGGGGTGGGGAGGGGAAGCAAAGCTTCCTGCTGCAGCTACTCCTGTTGGAGCCCCTTCCCTCCTGTCTCCTGTCCCTAATCTGGCAAAGTACAACGATAGAGTTCCTTTTTCTCAGCCTTGGTGAGAAAGACCTTACAGGAAAAACCTGACGTAGGAAAAGATTTACTAACTTCTTTATGGTCACTGATTTTTTATTACCGGTATAAGAAATCTTTGCCTACCTCAGGGTCTATTTTCTTCTAGAAGTTTTATTGTTTTCCACAATCCATCCTTCTCCTCTTTCATAAGTATGCCTATATACTTAACTCTCCTTCTCTATTTAAATTCATCTGATCATCAACATTTGTCCACTCCCATAGATAGCAACCTCCTCTATACAGAGGACTCTCAAATGTATGTCTTTAGACCTTCTTACTTATAGCCCGGTACTGAACTGAAAAGCACCTACTTGAATCCAGTTCATCTCTTCCCATTAATGATCACATTTTCCCTGGATACCAGATTAAGAAGCTTTCAGTCTTTCCTCTTTCCCGTTCACTTACTCTCTATATTCCACGTCATCACGTTTCTACAATCAATTCTTTGAAAGTATCCCACACCAGTTTCACCCCTTTCTGCTCCATTCCACTGACACCATCCTAACCTCAAATTTCATGCCCACATTCTCTGGATTACTGCAGCTGTCTTCTTCTTGATTTGTCTCCTTAGTTTGTTCTTCCCATTGCTATTTATCTTATACGGTACTGCCAGACCTACTTTACCAGAAGTATAATAATAATAACCAACATTTATCAACTGCTCATTTAATCCTCATAACAATGGCATTATCCCCACTTTCCAAATAAGAAAACTGAAGCTTAGGGAATTAAAAACACTTGTCCACAGGCAAAACCTTATCAGAACAGAGAGAAAAAAAGATAGAAAACTGAGGTGTGTCTATGTCTAGAATCAAAGCTTTACCGCTCTACTATAGTTTTTATGGTAAAAGCTACAGTGAAAAACATATACTGGCTTTCCCCTGCCTTGCGCACAAGAGCAGCTCTCCTTGGCTGTCAAGGCTGGCTGTGATGTGGCTGCATCCAGGACTGGATGCATAATGTGTGGGCCGGCTGCAAAATGAAAGTAGGAGTCTCCTTGCTCAAAGTGTATTGAGAATTTCAAGACAGTAATACAAAGCGTTAAACCAAGCTCGCGGCCCTTCCTGGAGAGGGGCTCTGGGGGAAGGCTGAGGCTCCACGTGCACGAAGCACACATGGCAGCACCCCGCCCACCCAGCCTCACCTGCCGCGAGGCTACTCAAGTTCTGCTGCTCCTTTCTGGCTCGCTCTTGGCATTTTTATTATTTTTTCTTCTGGGCCTATTTTGTTCCTTGTCTTCTGTGCTTACCCACATCCTAATAACCTTTTAAGGCCCAGCTAGGTACCGACACTGTGCTAGACATCTGATAGACTTACTGAATCCTCAAAACCATACTAGTGTCTCATGACTTGTAGGGGACATTTTTTTTTAAGTTCTTACATTTTTGGACAAGAAGACTCACATTTTTAAAGTTCTATTTGTGACAGAGAAGCTTCTGTGGATGAATATGTAAAAGCAGCTGTCAGGCTAACTTCTGTGAGTTTTTCTGTAGATCCTGCCCCTCCTCTTGTAAATTAAAAATAGGTCACACTACGTCTAGGGTACTTAAGTTTCACATTATGTACACAGTGACTTAAAATGACAATGAACAGATGAATGTTTTGATATCTAATGTTGTCCAAGAAGGTGGACCATTAATTAAGACTGTTTTCTGTACCAGACAGAGCGGTAGACAAGCAGTGAAACCCGGCAGATGTCAATGCTGAATGTGAAGTCAAGGGAACTGCATACTTAGCATTCGAAAATATCACACTTCGCAAAAGAAAACATTGCCAATAATCTGCTTCACATTGTATTTTAAGCAGATTAAACATTAGTATAAGCATCAACCAATATATTTAAGGCAGCTCCTCTTTTTGGATATGTAAATAATTCTAGAAATCAAATCTGAGGCATAAAGTCCTTAAAAATTGCATTATCAAATTATAACTGTTAACGGCAACACTGTTTCAGATAGCATAAAATAAAAGAGAAAAAACCACTCATTGAAATACCTTAAGGATTATATTCGAAGAGCAAGGAAAATATTAATATTAATACACTAATCTTATTTTAAGAAGTCAAATATTTTGATTTGTTATACCAACAAATTAAGTCATTCAAAATCTGTTCAAACTGGGGAACAGTGGCCAAATAGTTAATGAGTAAAACTTTGGTACATTAATATTTTGAGCTCTTTCAAAATTTCAGAGACTGTATAGATTAAGGAAGCAGTTAAAATACAAAATATTATATATATATATGTCTATGTATGTGTGTATAGGCATACACACATACACATACATATTAAATAAGAATTAAATGAAAGGGAAGGATATTCAAACAGTGCCAAGATACCAACCTGCAGATTATAAAGGAAAAACTGTACCTTCCGATGGAGTGGGGTGGTGGTCAGCACCTTAACCAAGTGAACATAGCACCAATAGTGGGAAAACCTGAAACCATATGGCTCCTGATGTGATATAATACATAGCAGAAAACATCACTAACTAGTGTTCTTAACAAATACGTTTAACAAGAATCTAATCGTGAGGAAACAATGACCCTGAATGTGGCACATTTTAAAAGACATCTGGCCCCGGCTCTTCAAACTCCATGTAATAAACTTTAGATTATATAGATGAGCTAAATGCAGACAACAGAAAGGTTGGGAAAAATGCTCTGGATTCAGATACCAAACAGGCATCATGAGTGGAATGCATGGCCCTTGGCTGGACCCTAAACCCGAAAGGCTCTAAGAGTACCTGACTATAGACTACGGATTAAATGACTTACGCAACTAGTGCTCATTTTCTAAGGTGTGATATGTTATCAAGGTTATAAAGGAGTGTGGGCTTCTTCTTAGGGGGTGCAGGCTGAAGCCTCTAGGGATGAAGTGCTATGATGGCTGTAATTTACTTCCAGATGGTTGAGTAAAAGACAGCGTGTGCACCAATGTACTGCTGTATGTAACATGTTAACAACTGGTGAATATCGGAGCAGACACAGCATATATTCATTGTCTTTATCTTTGATTATCTATGGATTTTAAAATTTGTAAAATAAAAAGTGGGGTGAAAATTATAAATATTATTCTTTAATTCCATCCAGGTCCAGAAAGGGATGTCATTTTACCTCCCCTACAGAAAGAAAGAAGGTAGACTAGTGACAAACAAAAAAGAAAGAATAACTTCCAGTGAATTTTTCAACTTTTGATAAAAGAACAGACTTTCTGAAAATGAGATATAATGGGAAAATTCAAGTTTCTCTCCAGTAATGAGATTTGCAGTGCTAAAGGGACATCGAGGAAAACATTCCTGGAAACAAGAAAACTCATGACAATAAAATATACCTGGTTCTCATCTCTTAAAACTTCACTGTTGGTTGTTTTTATAGTTCAGGGATTTTAACAATAGTAAATACTATCTAGAAGATCACTATTAGATGGGTCATCACCCAACAGAAGGAAAGACAGATTCCTGAAGTTATAGATTCTTAAATGAAGGACTCCATGGATGCGCTTTAAGAAACACACAAACCCTTAAAAACGACTGACAAAATTGTACATAAGTCTTGCTCTGGGGGAGAGGGGGTATAACTTTCATCAGATCCTCAATGAGTCCAATGACTCAAAAAAGAACCACGGTGCCCAAGAAAAATACTATTCAGTATATTATGCTATGTGATGTCTATCAAAATATTAAGTATTTAAGATAATTTTCCCATAAGTTTCTTCTGGCTTTCTATTAAAGTTTCAGAAATAGTATCTAAAAAACATTTATTTTAAGAAGTTATAGTTAAAAATAAATTCCCAGGGCCATTTAAAATAATGTGGGATTAGTGAACTAAAAAGAGATACAAGTTTAAAAACCAAAACAAAACTTACCTTTGAGGTGGTGTTCGTGGGCTTTTAAAGGCTGTAGCGTGAGGTCTATCAGATTTGGAAGCTTTGCATTTCACTTCATCTTCATATAATTCTGCCAAGGCCAACTATAGAATAACAGATTTGTTATAAAGTATAAAAACACTAGAAATAAACCCTTCTACACAATGACAAGTTATGAGCAGAAAATTAACTTGTTACTGAGTAGTAAAGATGTCTAATGAAAAATGAAGGCTGCCACTTCAGAAGATGACTCCCTTCCAAAATAAAACCACTGCATCTCTCATTTATAAAATGAACCAAAAATGCCACATATAGTAGAATAAATTAAAGTTACAATAATTGTTTAATTACTTTCAATGAACTATTCAACAGTTTCAAAAACTATTTGGTAACAGATCATTTTCAAAGTTGGACCTACAATTCTTTTAAAAATACTTGAAGATGTTTCACACTAATGTCAGTTTGCTCTCATCAGATCCCATAAAAATATTTCACTTAGCTGTTCAAGTTTTCAAAATCTGAGTACATGAAACAATTCCAAAATTATTCTACTTAAAAGTTTACCAGACATATAAATTTCATCAAGTTTAGGAAAATGAGCTTCATTTCAATGAATGATATATACAGTTTATATAACTTTTAGAAAGCAATATTACCAAATTATGCTTTAAAGATATATGGCTGGATATCTTCAAAATGAAATAAACAAAGCATGGTTTCTGAAACTGGAATTTTAAGAAATTTTCAAAATATTTCATTATCATATAAGTTATTTTGTTCCCACTTCTGACTTTCTTGGACAACTCAAAAACTTTCCTTTATGCCCCTTGTGGCTATTTAATTATAATTGGCATGACCATAATCTTTGGGAAATTAAAAAAAAAAAAAAGACAAAAAAAATCCCCAAATCCCCCCAAAACCCAGATGAAGTGCTCCTTCTAGAAACATGAGAAATATAAAAACTATCTCCAGGGATTCTTTCCTCAGTAGGAAAAGAAAAATAGGGAACTGGGGCAAAGTTAATTCTCTGAAGATTCCATTAATCAACCTTTAAAATATGCACACAAGAAAACAAAAATGAGTCTTTATTTTTCCCACCTAATTTTTTACCTCCACCCCATACACATATGTCAACTTTCATATTTCTAACATGGCAATTTTGCAGGAAATCCTAATTATAAAAGTGCTATGTAGCCTAAAAGGACTTATTAAAATCCTAACTTAGGCTCTAACTGTGTTGGGCAAATTATTTAACTTCTCTGAGCCTTAGTTCCCTCATCTTTTAATGCCTATTAAAACAATACCTTAGAGGTATTACATAATGTAGGTGAAGCACAAGGCAAGTGCTCTGAGAAGATATTATTAAAAAATGCTCAGCAATGATTGTGTCAGTGTTTCATTTTCCCCAAGGTTTCTTTTCTTCCTGCAGTGTTATCTATATGTCTCCTATGGTCTTTTCCTACTTATCCTCTCCAAAAGGAGAAAACAAAGCAAAACAAAAAACCCACCACAAAACAAATGAGAAGAGACAGAAGCAGAGACAGACAGACACTCTGACTACTTCGGCCCAAAGTTTTCAGAAATTTTTACCTCCCTGAAATTTCTTCAAAACTGTATCCTTTATGGATTTCCTCATGAGCTGATAATATTGCTCTATGAATTACTTTTATGCTATTCCTATTCCCATCAATGAAAATGTTATCTGTATGTCAAAGGGCCATTTCAGTCATCCTTCAAGAAGCCTTTTCTAATTTTCTTAACTAAAGTGGTATTTCTTTTCCAAATCCTCATAGCACATTTATATTAAACATTACATTGTCATCACTTGTGTACTTTTCTTACTATTTCATCCCCCCTACTACAATTTAGCTTTCTCAAATTGTTTTTAACATAGCACATGACAGGCACCCAACAAATTCTTGTTGAATTATGTAGACTACAACTCAGCATGAATCATAAAGAGACACAGATAATGTTATAGATTTAAAAACTGAGATTATATTTGCTATAGTTTTGGACCTTGTTTTTTGCTTTAAGATGATTTGAATAAACCCTGTAAAACAAATAATCTTCTTCTATAAAATAAATGAATAATGCAAACAATGCCTTTTGACTCCATGGAATGCGGAATATATATTAACAAAATAGGAATATGGAGAAAATTACATTATAGCAGGGAGTCCACCTAGCTGAAAGGGCCAAGTTATCACCAGTACATCATTAACTTAGAGGAAAATGAATGATATTTAGAGGGAATTAATGCCAGGATCCATGATGTACCTGAAGCATCATATGGCATAAGTTCATAAGCAAATATTTTAAATAAAGTTAATCTATATTATTTGACATAGCAAATGACACCACATCAGAAGAGGAAATTAACTGATGCACTGGTTAAAACCAGTAGAAAACAACAACAAAATCTCAGTCAAATAAAGAGATAAAAATGTGTGCACTGTGAAGTAAAGATGCACTGTGAATTATCAGGACAGACTTCCATGAGCTAAACAACTAGATTATGAAGATATTTCAATTACACAGAGAGAATGAAGTATGTAAGCCCTGATAATCTTTTCTCTAGAATTTGAAATGTGAAGAATGTGAGAAAAGAACCTGAAATTGTGGGTGAGAACATGAAATACATAGCAAAAGATTAAAAGTACTGGAATTCCCAGTCTTAGAGGGACAACTGCCAGAAGGTATAACACAGATGTTTCAATCTAGAAAAGCAACATCAGCATCACCTGGGGACCCTTGAAAACTGCAGATGCTCAAACCCCAACCTAGACCAAGTGATTTAGAAAATCAGGGGTGGGGTCTGGTGTCCGTGCTTAAACAAGCCTTCCAGGTGACTCTGATATATGTTAAAATTGAGAACCAACGATATGGGACACTGACATCAACAGGACGAGGGTACTTGTGACAAGTGCAACACAGTGCCAGACATCTGTACACTTTTCTTACTGATAGAACTCCCCTCTTTGCCCCATCCAAAGCTCACTCTGAACCCTAGGAAGTACTGAAGTTATTAGCCCCAATTCTCCTCAACTCCAACCTATATGGAAACAAAGAAATAAAAACAGAAATCTTTTTCTTTTGATATCATTCTGGAGGAAACCTGGGACAGAAGCATACGATCAAATACCTTAACTATTAACCCCGTTGTGTGGATGGACTGAGGGGCATGAGAAGAGACAAAGGGCTCTGAAAATGTTCACAAACACTAACGAACACTGAGGTTTTGGGGGTGAGTACTGTCACTAACAATCCTATACCAAACTTTCCCACTGAATGTTCCCAATTTTGGAGGAGGAAAGGACCTAAGATCTACTCTCAGTTTGCGATCCATGGGAGATTTCTGAATTTGAGTCAGAGGCTCACGGCGCTGGGAGGCTTTTTGGGAGATGACGATCGATCCATCTTTCCTCTTGTGGTGAATGAGGAAATCTCTCCTAATGTAGATGCCGACAAACCCTACGCTGCATGGCAGCTAAGAAATAGGTACTTAGTGGTACTTTTGCTATTTCCAATTATACTGTGAAAGACTCTTAGAGCGAGTTGTCAGGAAAGTTAAGGAGTATCTACTGAAAACTGAACCAAATGGGTAAGTCTTAAAATAAACATGGCTAGATTAAACAATAAAATAATCCCCAAATAATCAATATCCAAGAAACCAGCTGGGGAGACAACATCATCCAATTCTTTTAAATCTTTGATACTCTATTTCTTCATATGCCATCACTTGGTTGTTTTCAGGTTTCTTTGCAAATTCTTCACATTCTTATTAAATTCTAAGGGAAACACTATGAATACTTAGTGTATTTGATATTCCAAATCACATTCATAAAAAAATCAGTTATCTACTTGAAACTACCTACCAGGAAGTAGACAGGGGATGGAAAAAAAAAACCCCAAAAAACCCTATTTTCTAATTGATGGTGGAAAGGAAGGAATTCTCACAATTGGTGACATCTACCACAATATCTCCAACAATTTATCATATCTTAATCCAGTGGATGAAGTATAAATTTGTCAAGTATCAGGTGATCATTAACCAAGCTGTTCTCATTTTTCACATAAAAAGACAAAATAGATTTATATTAGAGAAAGGATATTAAGTCACACAGTTTTAAGTTTAATAGCATTAGCATGGACTAACCAGTGAAAATTATAGTATTTTTCTCCTTTAAGGGAAAAAGAACCAAATATTTACTAAGCAAGTCTGATCCAGGATAACATGGGATTGAACAATTTATAGACATTTCTTTATTTCATCCTTGACACCACCATCACCTCTAGTTTACAGATAAAGACAATGAGGATCAGAGAGGTTAAGACATTTTTCCGATATTCACGTAACTACTAAGTGTCAGGGTCGAGATGCAAACCGAAGTTGTTCTGACCAGAAACTCCACTTTTTCCCTGACAGTCCATGCTGCCTCTTAGTGATACCGGTCTTCAGCAGAAAATACGAGGTGGATGAGACCTTCCTGCCCCTTGATTCTGTTTACTGCATCTGAACTGACTATGAACACTGGAACTATTCTACATTGAGTTCATCTCCTAACCTGACACCAATCTCTCCATTCTTCAAATTTGTCATTTTATGCCCTACTTATTTTGGCACTAATTCATACTCCATCTCAAAATGTTCTGTTAAATATATGTGTATCTTACTTCTGCAAAAAATAGGTAGAAATGTCTTTTATACTTCTATGCCCTTCAACAGTGTCCCAGCACCAACTGTGGATTTGAGGTCCTATTTATCTCTGCATTCCCGAGCTTAGCAGTATGTTACATGGCAGGTGGTCATTATATGTTTGTTGAAAGAAATAGAATGAAGGTGTAACAATGAAGTAATAGAACTTTTCTACCAAGGCTTGTAGGTTGAATGTCATTTATTTTTAATTATAGCTCCCTACAGATGTTCACTTTTTGAATTTTATCAATGATCTTACAAAGAGTTAAAAAAAACAACCTCTAAAATGAGTAGTGCGATGCATCTGGCGGAGCAAGATTCGGTGCGCTGGTATTTAGCTAACTAATGTCAATGTCCTGTAACATTACGAAGTTTTATTTCTCTGTTTCTTATGTGCAATGTTTTCTAGACTGTAAGCTGCTACAACTAGGCTGCGCAGCCGTAGGATGAAATACTTTTTAGTTCACCCCTTTAAAAGGGAAAAGCTATCTGATAAAAAGGAACCCTTTTACACGTAAGTAATCGAGCCACAAACAGCATCCAAGACAAACAAGATCAAACCAGCCCACGCTGTGACTCGATTTCCCCACGGCCACCGCAGAGCTTTCTTCTGCAGTGAGTCTGACCGGAGCATCAACCGGTGAAGCACTCAACTGACCCCTAACCCCCCAAACGCCATTCGACATGAGCAGCTGCTTCTTAAACTGCAAGTGGGGTGGAGGGGGGAAACGAGGCAGGGGCACCACTGACAGCCGGGATCGGACACTTGTTTCCACCGACGCCGCTGCCCGGCGCGCCGCCTGGGGCGGACCCGCGGCGCCGGAATCACAGTTCGGTCCCCGAGCCGGTCTGGGGAAGCTCGGCCGCGGCCAGGGCGGTTCCACACGCCCCCGGCCGCGCCGTCCCCGACGCCGCGCCCCCGCCCCGCCGCTCGCCGCACCTGCAAGTCCCGCGCGCTCGGGGGCCGCGGCCCCACCGCCCTCGGCCCCTCCTCGCCCTCCTCGCCGCCGGCGCCGCCGCCCTCCGCCATCTTTCACTCGCTCCCGGCACCGCCGCTGCCGAAGCGTCTCCCGCGACTTCCGGGGCCGGTTGCCTGGCAACCGCGGGGCGGGGCGGTCCCTGCGCGTCCCCGCCTCCCCCGGCGCCCGTGCGCGCTTCTTCCGGCGCCCGCCCACCTGTGCGGTCCCGCTTGTTTCCGTAAAGGAAGTTGGCTCAGAATTTCCCCGCCAAGGAGCCTTTGCGTAAACCCGGAGGCTGCTGGGCGCTGGCCTGGAGGGCAGCACGGACTTTCGTGTTCTTTTAACCCCACAGTGAAAACGTCCCCTGGATGTTTCATCTGATGAAACGTGCCACCGTCCTTTTCCAGTCTCGGTCACATTCTCTCATTTCCTTGCCAAGGACTGGGTGGTACGTCGCCCCCAAAGCGTGAATTGACGTTGAGGAGGAAGAACCCTGTAAACTTTCTTTGCGATCAGAACTAGAGACTTCTAAATTCATCTGAGATTTATTCAAACTCCTGTCTTATCCCAAGCACTTTTATACCCCCGGATGCAAAGGTAAAAAGAAGTAGTCCTGGTCATTATAAAACTCACAATCTATTGGGAGAGGGAGAGGTATAAACAGATAATAAAGTGCCATTTGCAGTAGAGCTTTGCAGGAAACGTTATGAGTGGCATGTGGGGTGTGAAGGGGAGTATTCTGTTGGCACCTGCTATGTGCACCATGCTAGGTGCGTTCGATTGTATGTGTAATCTCGTCTGTTCCTCTGCCAGGTAAGTATTGTTATTACCGTGTTATACCTGAGGAGAGCAGACGACAAATAACGACTAAACTCACCCTGTTGTAAATGGCGGTACCAGATCCTAAGCCTCGCATTTGTTGGTTGTCCAGATATTCTTTTGAGTACAACGTTCTGCCCTAGAAATCCCGGGCTTTTCTTTATAACCCATAAAGCCAAAGGCATTTGGCCGAATCTTGAAGGATAAGTACCCCTGGTAAACTTTGGACCAAAAGGGACCACCGGGAGAGGCATGGGTTTGAAATGCCATGTTTATCCTGATAAAGTACTGCATGGCAGAACCTTAGGAGAAATGACAAAAGATGGTTGGGGGTTGGAGAGTGTGGGTTTGGATCTAGACTGGAGATGTGGGCTTAGGGCAGATGCTGAACCGTCTTGCCTTAGTGAAGAGATTGAATATTACGCTCCGGGCCAGTGATTCTTAAGGCTGATGCACGTTAGAACTCCCCTGCCATCCTTTCACTGCAGGAACTCAGATTTAATTAGTATGGGGTTGCACTCAAGCATCATGTTTTTATAAGCCGCTCCCCAAGTGGACTTTGCTTCTGGCTATGACAGTGTACCTGGTACTGGATTTGCCCTTCCACTCCCAACAATGAAAAAACTAGACAAAATATATGAAACGATTATTTTCAGACATTGAACTACAGGCAGTACAGATCTGTGCTATGCCAGAGAAGGGAAACAAGCAAAATGAGCTATGTTTGTCCTGGCTTTCTGCCTGGAACTCTCCTACAATGCTGGTGGGAATGGAGAATGGTACAGCTACTTTGGAAAATAGACAGTTTCTTCTAAAGTTAAATATTCAGTTATCATAAGATCCAGCAATAACACTCCTAAATACTGACCCAAGAGGAACGAAAACATATGTTTACAAAAATATTTGTACCCAAATGTTCATAGAAGCTTTATTCATAATAGCCCCAAACTGGAAACGATCCAAATGTCCATCAACAAATGAATGGATAACATTTCGAGAAATTCATACCACAGAATACTACTCAACAGTAAAAAGGAAGAAATTACTGATTCACATACCATGGCTGAATCTCAAAGACATTATCTTGGGTAAAAGAAGCCGGATGTCAAAGAGTAAATATTGTCCGATTCAATTTATACGAGATTCTAGAGCAGGCAAAACTTATCTTTCCTGACAGGGGTTGCTTAGGGTCAACTCTTTGGGGGAAGGATAAGCTTGGGGAATTTGAAAAAGGATATGTGGGAACTTTTTGAAGTGATGAAAATGTTTTATATTGTTATTGATGGTGATAATTACACACTTGTGTGTGTATGTATGTGTTAAAAACACATTGAGCTATATACTTAAAATGGGTGTACTTTATTATATGTAAATCACACATTTATAAAATTAGTTGAAAAAAACCTCCCCAGGTAATTCTGTTGTGCAGCCAAGGTTGAGAACCACTGGTCTAAGGCAATTGGGAGCCATTAAGTGGTTTGTGATTTAGAAAGATAACAGAGGCATCAGTGTGTAAGATGAATCAGAGTTACAAAATTAGAAGGTTATTACAACAATGTGGGGTGATTAGGATTAAGGTTTTTTTTTTTTTTTTCTGCCTTCGCTGTGCAGCTTGCGGAATCTTAGTTCCCCAGCCAGGGATTGAACCTAGGCCCGTGGCAGTGAAAGCACCAGGCCCTAACCAGTGGACCGCCAGGGAATTCCCAGGAATAAAATTTTATCAGTGACAGTGGGTAAAGAGAGAAGCAGTAATTGGTAGAGATATTAGGACCAGAGCCAACTGGTGCTGAAGTCTTACATGGGGAATATGTGAAAGGAGGAGGAATACAGGATGACGTTGAGGGTTTTGGTTAGGTGATTTGGCAAATGGCGCCTCCTATGAATTATTCAGTTGAAAGGGAGAAGCAGACCTGAGAAGACAGAAACGAGTTTGTTGTGGACATTTTGTGGTTTCGTTTTGCTTTATTTCCTTCCAGTTTTATTGAGCTATAACTGACATACAGCACTATATAAGTTTAAGGGGTACAGCATAATGATTTGACTTACATACATCATGAAATGTTTACCCCAGTAGGTTTAGTGAACATCCATCAAATGGTATAGATACAAAATATAATAAAAGAGATCATTTAGGAGATCATCAACTTAAAATAATCCTGTATATTTATAGGTTGCTGTATATAAACCTCATGGGAACCAACACTCTGCAATAGATAAACACACACACACACAAAGAGAAAGAACTCCAAACATAACACTAAACATAGTCATCAAATCACAATGGAAGAGAGTGTTATGACATTTTGAATTCAAAATTTATGTGGGACACTAGAGGGAAAATACATCACAGAGCAATTGCAAACGTGGGTCTAGATATTAGGAGGTAAGAGAATCTTGCTTTGGAGATATAGGTTTGGTGATGACTGCCCATGAGCGATACGGTAGATGAGGCTTCCTGGGGCAGTGTGAGATGTGATAAGATGTGAGCACCGAGAATACTTAGAAAAACCAGCACTGAAGGGCTCAGTGGGGAAAGGAGAACATTCAGACGAGACCTAGGGAGTAGTCAGAGAGGGAGGGTGAAGGCAAGAGACTGGACAAACCAGCGACATGGCGGTTTCAAGCAGGAGACCAATGCTGTCGTTTCCTATGGATAATCAAGATTAGGATTCCCTGGTGGGCTAGTGGTTAGGACTCAGCGTTTTCACTGCCGTGGGCCTGGGTTCAATCCCTGGCCGGGGAACTAAGACCCCACAAGCCTTGCGTATGGGCAAAAAAAAAAAAAAAAAAAAAAAAATTAGGACTGGAATGTGTCCACTGGATTAAGAGAAGAGATTGCTGTACCAAGTTTACTATGAATTTCATAGAGAGGAAAATCCACATTTTAGCAGTTTGAGAATGACAGCTAGGACAGTAAAGCTGTGTTTTCAATGTACTTAAAGTCAGAGGTGTGCAGGACGTGGCTTATCCTGGCTCGGGAGAGCCTGTGGTTAAATTTTCAGGAATTTTACAGGTAGATGTTAAACACAGTGATTATTAAAAATGGAGGGGAAGGGGGGAAGGATAAATTAGGAGTATGGGGTTAACAGATACACACCACCATATACATAGATAACAGGAATTTACTGTAGAGCACAGGAAACTATACTCAATATCTTGTAATAACCTACAATGGAAAAGAATTTAAAAAAAAAAAGGATATAGCTATATACATATGTATATGTATGACCGAATCACTTTGCTGTACACCTGAAACTAACACAATATTGTAAATCCACTATACTTCAATAAAAAAGTAAAAAAAAAAAGAAAAAATTAAGTTACATAAACTTACAATGAAATCATATTAAAAACCAATGTAATAAATACTAAAAATCAATTCCAAATTATTTAAATACATTTTATAATTATTTATGCCATACATTTTATTATCTATTACCTATTCTAAATATATTTTATTATTATCTATACAGCTATTGTATCTACATGGTGGAAATACCATGTAATGGCACGCTATGGTACACCTCTTCCCAACTCCACTTTCAGTGACAACATGTTGGTAGCTTGGAATTCACCATGGTGGGAGTATTCACAACTCAGAAATTGGCAAACGCCACACTTAAGACCTTGATTTATTATTCTGTTCATTGTCTACTCTGAATTTAAGAATGTGGTGGAGAAAATGTTTACAAGGCAGTTAAGACTTAAAAGTGTGCTGTGTCTGTAGCTGCTATACTGGGAATAGCAAAAGGGAAAAAAAGGGGGCATTCTTTCAGTATTTGAAAATGACTGACTGATACAGGGAGGAAGTAGCTGCTCGTGTCATGTCATTGAGTTACTATGTATATTGTGTTGTTTCACTCACATCTTAACTTGAATGAAAGTATCAACCGACATTGGTGACATTCATGACAGACAGTACCTCTCTTTTTAGCTTGTGATGGAAGCAATAGTACCTCTTCCCATTCTTCTCCAAAGAAATGATCACAAGTACCTCACTTCCCCTCCATTTCTTCCTATTTTATATTCTCAGAGTGACTGAGGGGGTTCGAGAATCATGGAACTTATTCATTCTAAAGTTTCTTACCATTTACCATAAGCTACAAACCAGTATTTTTTATTTATTGATTTATTTATTTTTGGCTGCGTTGGGTCTTTGTTGCTGTGCGCGGGCTTTCTCTAGTTGCAGCAAGCGGGGGCTACTCTTCGTTGTGGTGCGTAGGCTTCTCATTGCGGTGGCTTCTCTTGCTGTGGAGCACGGGC